GCCCACGGGCCGCGCCCGCACCCCTGGCCCAGGCCCAGCCCAGGCGGCGGCGAGAAGGAGCAGCACCCGCACCAGCCGGCGCATCGCGCCCATACTCAGGTTGCCGCAGGGGTGGGGCGGGGAAGGGGGATAAGGGTACGTCACGCCAGACCGTCCCGCCCCCCTGCAGACTACAGCTCCCGGCGGGACGCGGCAAAGAACTGCAGCTCCCACAGTGCTCCCCGGCCGAGGGAACTACGGCTTCCACCAGGCTAGGGGGCGGGGCGAATCGCGTGGAGCGGCAGGCTGCAGGCTCCGGTGGCATCAAGATGGTGGCCTCCGAAGCGCTTCGACTGTCGTCACGTGGCAGGAGCAGGACGCGCCAGTGCGCCTGCGCGCTGCTGCCAGGCCAGGAGCAGGGAGGCGGCGGCGGCAGCAGAGGAGGAGGGAGGTGAAGTGCGGGGAAGCATGCGGGTGCTGCCCGGGGGGAGGGGCTGAGACGGGGGCACAGGAGATGCCGCCCGCCCGGGCAGACCCTGCTCTCCGGGCTGCTGAGAGGAGAAAGCCCGGGGGGAGCGGGTGTGATGGCCCGACCAGCTCTCTGCCCCGGGTAACAGGTAGCACCAAGATGCACCCCACCGCCCCCCAAAGCACCCGGCAACTTTGTGCTCGTGGGGAGTGGCAGAGGAAGCCTCGGCTCTGAGCCTGAGGGGAAAGGAGCAATTAAGCCAAAACCCTGTTTGCTAAAACCTATGACTGTAGGGGAAGTAGGCAGGAAGGAAACCTAGGTCCATTTTCCAGTCAGATCTTTTCTGTAACAGTTTTGTTCCCTCAGCAGTGCTGCACACCGTGACTGGGGTTGTCGTGGGGCCTCAGCACTGTCGCCGCAGTTCTGGCGTGAGATGTTGTAAGGTAAGTGACATCTACCAGTGCCTGGACTGGTACAAGCAGAGCAAAACCCTCCTAACTTCAGCCCTGTGTTAAGGTTACAGCAACACAGCTCACTGTACCCAGTGCGGAGGCCAAGTAGCTGTCCAAGAGGAAGAAGTAACTGCTGCTCCTGAACAACATATTGATCTCCCTTTTCTATTTAGAACAGTTTAATGTTATGCCTGTCCATAGCCTGAGAGCATGGAGAGACCCTCCCCACTCCATCCCCACTCTGAGGTTACAAAAAGGCAGTGGCTCTTACGTTCCAATTGTTCAATGCAGACAAACTGCGACTGACACAAGCGTAGACAAAGCAGCATCAGCTTTAAGCTTGGATGAAGTCGGAGTGGTTTTTGCTACACTTATGTCATTCCCAGCTTGTACACCTGGAACACGGTAGCTGCCACTAGTTTGAAGTGTTCCCCTTGTGACACTCTGGATGTCCCTGTTTTCATGCCCTGAGTGACTGCAGGAGGTCAAATGCACAGGGAGCTTTGTATGCGAGGTGGGAAATTGTTTTTATTAATACAATTTGAACAGAGAAATGCCAGGTTCTCAATGTTTATGGTGTTTGACATCAGTGTTTTCTGAAAAAAAAAAAGCAGCTGAACTGTCCAACCTGAAGAGAAATCTCTCTCTTCAAGAATTGCTCCCTGGCTTAGGGCCTTGTAGCTCTGTCACAGACCTGCCTAACTTGCAGGAGCTGCTCTCCTGATTTCAGGGGCAGAACATGGGCTTGGGAAGTTATGTCATGGGTAGGGTGTAGTGGGCCCCTGCTGTATTTTTGGCTGAGGGGTCCCAGAGGCCTTGCCCCTCACCACTGATTGGCTACAAGGGCTGCTTGTCGTGCAGCCCCACCCCTCTACCAATTGATGGAGGGGCAGGGCCAAATGACAAGCAGCCCTAACTGCCAGTCAGCAGCGAGGGGCAAGAGCAGCTGCTGTTTAGCAGGCAGCCCTGCTCTATGCCCCACTGGGCTGCCACAGTGCACTGAGGACTGCTGGTTCCCTGTGAGGAGCCAGCATTTTCTTTTCATAGGTTCATATTTGTTAGGGACTAGAAGGGATTTTACAGATCATCGAGTCCAGCCCCTCTGCACTTGGACAGGAAAGATGGCTGGGATCAGGTGACCCCAGCAAGATGGGCGTCAAGAAGTTTTTTGAAGATCGCCAGGGTGGATGACTGTACCACCTCTGTGGAGAGCCTGTCTCAAACCTTCAGCACTCAACTTATAAAGAAGTTTTTCCTTTATATCTAGCCTGAAGCAATCTTCAGTCAGCTTGTGCACATTATTTCTTGTTCTCCCTTTGGGGGCCTTGTTGAATAGATGCTCCCCAAAGCCCTGCCATAAATTTCCCCACCACCCTGCAGATTTCACATGCAATCCCGGATTTTGCAGAATCCGTGACATCATGAATTTGGTAGGTCCCTATACATAAAGATCTTGCAGATCATACATGCTGCCTCGCCTGCCCCCCACTGCCTTGGGTCTGAGTCTGGCTTCCCCTCCTTTCCCCCCCTCCACTGCATTGGGCCTGGGCCTGCTCCCTCTCTTCCCTGCCTGCCACTTCAGGTCCAGGCTCGTGCCCCCCGCTCCCCCCTGCCCTCCATCATGTGAGGTCTGGTTCCCCTCTGCTGCTTCATGTGCAGGCCCATGTGCTGCGTGTGTGTCCACCCCCCTGCCATTCAACCCTGTGTTGCGGCTGCCACCTCCCAGGAACAGCTGGGGGGAAGCTTGCATGCAGCCGGCAGCAGTCCCTCCCTTCCTCTCCTCTTTCTCCCTACTACTGCCCCCTCCCCACCACCTGTTGTTGGAGAGGGGCCCCACTTTTGGCCCCTCAGTCCTCACTGTCATGGCTGCACTCTGCAGTGTGGGGAGGCAAGGCCAGCACTGTGCTGCCAGCACCCTGAACTGCCACCACCTCCAAGGAGCAGGGCTGGATGTGCAAGACCAGCAGCGCTGGCCTTCCCCCTGCTCCATCCCCTTCATTATGGCAGCGCTCTGGTCCCTGCCATCCCTCTCTGCCTCTAAGGAGCAGGGCTGGGGGTGAGGCCAGCACTGCTGCCCCCCAGCCCCTCAGTCCCTGCTGTCATGGCAAGGCTCCACTGTCTGTCTGTGCAGAACACTCTGATTGGCTGCTGAGACAACCAGTCAGACTGCAAATGAAGTGTTATGGACAGACAGACAAAGGTTTTTATAATATTACAATGTTTGCTATGCAAATTTAACACTTGAAAAATAATTTATTTTATGAAGGGATATTTTATTAAGAGCATGTGCTAGAAGGATCTTTTCATAAACAAAAACCTTAAGTTTTCTGCTTTTGACTTCAGCCATCAGAATGTCCAATAAGGAGGTAAAGACAGCACTGAAGAGTGCCAGAGAAGCGATTAGGAATAAAGAATACAAAGAAGCTTTAAAGCACTGCAAGGTAATTAATTTTCACTTGTTAAAAAAAAAAAGTTATGCAAATATAAAAACTGCAACTTATGTCCTTCTGTCAGGTTTGTACGCTGCTGCAGAAAGTGTAGAGTGCGCATTAAGGGCTAGCCTGTACAGTCATGTTTAGGAAAATTAAGCTGAATCCACGATAAGCATGAAGTAATTTCACGTAAGTTAAACCCCAAGTTAGCTTCTGTCCTTCAGAAATAAAGTGACATTAGAACATCTTAATTTTCTTAAGCATCCTCATGTAGATGGGCATCAAACATAGTCTGTGGGCTGAAACTGGCTTGCAGAAACGTGCCACCTAGCACAGTAGTGCTACTGAATCTGATCAGACCCACACAGGGCATGGCATGTCACACATCAGGCCCACAGACCTTCTCCCTTAACTCCCCCCACTTCAGCATAACTAATCCAGTGGCTGGTCCAGTCAGTCTTGGACCTGTGGTGCCTGCAGTGCAGATCATGGAGCAGCTGGAACAGGCACTGTGTGGGGTACAGTCTGGCTGTGCTGTACATGGTGGCCACCCCAGCTGGACTGCACCTGCTCTGCCACATACACTACACACAGCACCTGCTTTGTCTGGTCCAGGACCCATGCTGCATGCCGTGTAGGTTCTGGACTAGCTGGAGCAGGCACTGTATGCAGTGCAGTCCCAGATCTGCCAGGGCAGGCAAGTGCAGCACATGTCCCAGAATGGGTGCCATGTGCAGCACAGCTGCCACCTGTTCCAGACTCTGGGATCTGTGCTGAATGCAGTGCAGGTCCCAAACCAGCTGGCGCAGCTGCCAGATCGGGTCTGCTAGGGGAGGTGAAAGAGAATATGGGCTGGATCCAGTCCACTGACTGGCTCTGTCAGCCCAGATGAGTTTGAGACCCCTGGTGTAACCCGTGGTCCAACCCTCGGCACATGTGCCACAGATGGAATCAGGAAGCCTCTGTGTGACACACAACAGGGAGGGAACAAGTAGCAAAGCAGCAGTTAGGGAAGAAAGAGCAACAGGTGGGGTAGGGAAGGAAGCAGAACAGCAGATCAGGCTGGGGAACAAGATCAGAATGGCAGCTGGGAAGGGTAGAGGGCTGATTTGTGGTCTAACCTACATCCTAACACCAGTCACAGCAAGTTATTTGTTGTAGGATTTCAGATGAAGTCCTTGTGGGTTGATCCTCCTTCCTTTCCTTCATGTAAAGGAAATAGGATAGTAGGAATAATGATTCTTTGTTATGATGATAAGTCAAACACTAGCTCTTATTGGTATTTTATAAAATGGATTTGTCAAGTCTGGCATTGACTCCATTAGTTGGAAGTTTTAGTTTGTTTAGACCAAGTGAGCAGTTTGGTTTTTTTTGCAGATACTTAATCCTGGAACAGATTAAATTTATTCTAAAAAAATGTCAGTGACAAAAGTCTATCTATGTGTAGACTGGAGTGACTAGTTATGGTATCAGATCACTTCAGGTGCATAGCATTCTTGAGCAGAAAAGCTAACAGTTACACATTTTGACAAGCGGCCTCACTTGTATTACCACTGTTCAGGGAGTAGCAGTTCTGTTAGATCTCATTTTTATCTGTATACAAAATATAAATGAAGAACCCTACCCCTTCTGCACTGGACTGGAATGATCAGGAGCTCTCTCTACAAAAAAAAGTGGATAACTCAAATTTGTTGTGGAAAACATTTTAGTATGCTTAGTTTCACATGATGTTTTATATTTGTAGGCAGTGCTGAAACAAGAAAAAAACAACTACAATGCCTGGGTGTTTATTGGCCTGGCAGCTGCAGAGTTAGAACAGCCTGATCAGGCCCAAGGGGCATACAGGAAAGCTACTGAACTTGAACCAGGCCAGTTACTGGCATGGCAGGTTTGTATCTCACTAGTTTTATTTATTTTTTACCCATCAAATAACTACCTTTGTACATCGTATCGGAACGAGACAGGGTTACAATGAGAGTGTCTTGTGTGAGAAGTCTTTGGGTGTTAAGAATTGTCATAAAGTTGTTGAAGACAATGAAACTGTAACACGATATAGCAGCTAAGAATCTGATTTGGGTTGTCCTAGATCATCTGGGATGGTTAGCCAGCTTTAAATTTCAGGACTTTGTTTTCAAGGATTTCCTGCAACTGGTTTTTTGTCCCAAATTTAAATATTGATTCTGGAAATACCAAATTGCATGTAATCACACAGTCCCAAAACCCTACTAACAGTGGTCACTTTCAGGCTTGCTGATAGCCATGTGTAGAGTATCTGGGATTGTATCCCAGATTTTGCTCCTTAGGTTTGATTGCTGTACTCTGACTAAATGTCTACAAATAAATCCAAGAACGGATTTGGCTGCAGTATATTTAAGTATATTCAAGTGTCTCTTGATAAATGAACAAACATGTTTCACACCTTCACAAAAGTAAAACAGTTAAACAGAAAAAAAAATTCTTATTTACTCATGAGCTTTCTGAGGTTTTTTCCTTGCAACACAAACTTTTCCTTAGGAGACAAAGCATCAAATAAAACACAGTTGTCAAATAACATTACCTTCCAATCTCATCCAGTCCAGTTTGTACATTTCTGTCGTCTTCCATGACAGTAGGTAATGCACACTCTTGAAGATATGTACATTATATATGCAACATCCTATAACAAAGCTCTTATAACAGGCACTTGCGCTCTCTCAGCGCAAGGTGGAACTTCAGGCTGGAGGCCAGTTCTTTTCTTCTGTAGAAGAAAAGAGAATAGTTAGTATATTTTAAACTTAATATATGTATTTCTTTAAACTAGAGAAAGAGAGAGAAAGAATAGTAACCAACTAATAAGGCCTGACATTTGACACTGAGTTATCATTGGGTAGTTAAATTTGACCTTTCATTGAACTAGTGCTCTGGGAACTTTTTTCCTGCCATTTCTCACAATTCACGTGGTTTTATTATTGGTCTATAGCCTAGTGTAAAACAATAAAAAAGTATGTCTCAGTCCATATTCTACTCTACTCGTAATTTCAGAAATGGAATTAGGAAAAAGCTTGCTGCATTTTTATTTTGTAACTACCATTTTCGTGTCATGTTCTGAATCTGCAGTGCTACATGGACAGGCAGATCCCTTTACCTATGTTGAACCCCACTGAAAGTATTGGGATTCATTTACACACACAGCCTGCCATCATGCATTCAATTGATCTTTCAGGCTTCAGATGTAGAAGCTAAAAAGGTCCATTTTACTTTTATTTAGGGTTTAGCAAATTTGTATGAAAAATCTAACCAAACTGATGCAAAAGGAGACTTGGCCAGTGTCTATCAAAAGCTCTTGGAACTTTGTGAAAGGTAAGGAATATTTAAATTTCAAGTTCAATATTCTGTGCTGTTACCATACAGTTCTAATTATGTAGGGAAAATCCCAGCTTTAATAACATCATATAAAAAGATATATTAAATTTTAACTCGTGTAATAGAGTGCAATGGCTTACCCCACCTATGATTTGTGTAGAATGTGAAATAGAACTAGATGCAAGTTACCACTGTTTTCAAAATAGAATAAATACTAACTTAGTAATATCATGCATTGTTGTCATGTTATCCTTATATCTATTGGCCTAATGTGTTAAATAAGTATCTAACTCAGTTAATAGGATAAGTGTCATTAGTATGTCTGTTCAATTTCTTGCAGCAAACAAGAGTTTCTAAACAAAGCTGATGTGGTGCATTCCTATAACAGACTGGAATATTCCTATTGCCAGATTTTATTGCCAGCAGTAATACCCTAAACAAGTTAATTTTCACATTTAAAAAGTGAGAATGTGACTAGTTTTCAAGTTGGTAGTGGAAACATTGCTTTAACTCGTTTAGAAAATGGACTGAAGTGTGTATATCTCATGTCTTCATAGTGACAAGCAGAAATGGTGTGAAGTATGCAAGAAGCTTGTGGAACTGTATCACCAAGAAAAGAAACATTTGGAGGTTAGTAACCAATTTCTCTCTCCTTTCTAGAGAGTTTTTTTTTTTAGTGAAGAACACAGCTTTGTAAACCTCTTACTTCTGTCCCAGGATTTGGTGATGGAAAGAGGAATCTATTGAACTGACAAACCTTAACAAAGAAAGCATTTTTACAAATCCTATCAGTTTCACCTGAAACTTCTTTATTAGCATGGTAGGATAACCTGAGTTTTTTAGACTAGTGTTGTGCAAAGAGTCCATCCCTTACAAAAGCAATGAACCCCTTTTTTCCTCTACTTACACTTTCACAACACAGCAAATGCCACCCAGTGTCTCTTAAGGTTTTTGGTGCTCTACTTCACAGAGCAACATTCACAGTAGTTTTCCTAATGGCAACCCGCCTTTTTCTGCCCCACCTGCCCACAGACAAAACATACCAGATGTCAGTCATCACAGTCTTTAGAGTCTTCCTTCTCCGTATCTGTGGTTCTGACATTTTCCTACAAGAACTTCATAAACTTTTGCTATTGCTTTTCTACCATTGCTATTTACAGCTACAAACCCACCTGTGGCTCTTTTTAGTTTCTAGGCTCTGCTTTTGTTGTTGGCCTGCATCCAGAAACTGGAGCTACAACTCCTGAAGTCATTCCCTACCTCCCCCATCTCTCAAGTAGCTTAGGAGCATCACAGCCAAGGAAGACTTCAGTGCCTTTTGGCTTTGTTTCCTTTCACTCAGGGACCAGTTACTTAACTACACTCACCACCATATAACAGTGTGTTGCTTGTCTTCTTTTAAATAGGTGACCTGTTGCCCTAGTCTAGAAAGGACTGAAAGAAACCCAAATTTCTTTAAGGGCACAGTTTTTATAATTCGCCTTAAAACAAAGTTAAAGTGTATAAACAAGAACAGTACCCTTTGCCTTTCAATTGCTCTATGTAGTACTTTATCTACAATTACTGCTGGTTAAGACTATCTTGGAAAAGCCATTCTCTTCCCTATATGCTCTCCTCAGGCTCTTTCTCAGGCTTTTTATAGGAAAAATTGACCACTTGCTAATTGCTCCCCCCCCCCAAACCACCTGGCCTTTAAAGAGGCA